GAACGGCATGGTAAACGTAAAAGAAATTTCAGCTGAAGGGAAGTAAATGTGGTGGACACTTACTGTACATGGCCTGACTGGTGATTTTTGACAAACGAATTTCATGTTTAGACATTAACGGCATAATTTTTGCAAAAGCAAAACTTTATTGATACTTGAAGTAGAAATAATGGAATACATGGTAATTTAACGCCGGAAGAAAGCATGAGAAAGAAGTTGAGAAGCACCCAATACGCAAGGGGAGATACCAAGACAAAAAAATTGAAAAATATTTGGAAATAACTAAAAAACATACATACATACATATACACATACACAGATACGTATTGTTCATTAATAGTAAATAGTATTATTTTCAGAGAAATACCGTTGTTTTCTTCAAGACTCGAAACTGCTACATTAAAAAGAAAACAAACGCTTTTAATCTGGATGTAAGTTCACAGCTAATGAAGACGGCTTGTTTTTAACTCGTTGCTATGTTTTCTGATTTGTTTGACGATAACGATTGAAACGTTAGGCTTTTAGGTCTCTCGTTTTGGAAATAATGCTAGCCTACCCTCATATTTAAAGTCCTGGAAACGTGGGAAAATTTGATAAATTACTTTCGGCCATTTTCTCATTTTATTTTAAATAAAATAGTAGGGATGATCCCTGCGCTGTAGCCTAACACTAGAGCTCATATTGGCCATGCTTTGGCCTCTTTCGGCATGCAGAAGAAAGAGCGTCGGTTGAAATGAAGGTATTGCATTATAGGGCCACATGGACTTCCAGATACATAATTATCAGTTTTTTGCATGAAGCCTGGTCGTTTTTCTGGTACATATTCGCTCCTCGAAAAAATGCAAATTTCCGCTTGAAAAGTGAAATGTTGCTAGAGCGGTCGTTCGTCGAAAAATCCAGGAGAGGATGAAGGCGGTCGTTCTCTGCAAAATGCAGTCGTTTCTGACTTTGCGGTGAAGTCGAGTATTTCTCGAAATCACCTGAAGGGAATATCATCTTTAAGCAAAATTAAGAACAAGCATGAAAGTAGAATATCCCAGTGAAGTTTCAGCTTCACACCTTTTCCGGTAAGCGGAAGCACTTCGCTACAAACATCCTTGAAGTGCCCTGAGTCGTGGCGCAAGTACAAATCGGTACTCGTTTTAGGTATACGATATCTGGGCGATAAATATGCTGACAAAATTTCAGTCATTGTTTTCCGGCAAGTTTCCGAGTTATCACAGTACCAAGCTGCAAACTTTGACGTGATCGCACGCGCTGCACAAGCGTGCATAGCAGCTGAATTTGAAATCTTTAGCTCATACATACACAGAGCATATCCTTGCAAAGTTCCAGCTTTCTATTTTGGCTGGTTCGCGAAATTGCTTCCTACCAAAGAAATTTTCATATTCATTTCGAGAGTCCGTGTGCGAGATCTAGGTGCGTACGAGCGAAAATTTTAAAACGAGAGGATGACACACGGGAGTAGGAACATATACCCAAAATTTCAGCCTCCCAGCTTTCCTGATTGCTGAGATGAAAGTAGGTGGCAAAATTCGTCACCTCCGAACACACACACACAAACACACAGATGACCTCCCGGCAATATATGTTTTTGCTGGCTGTAGCAGCGCTATAGCGCTGCACAGCAAAAAGCATAAAAAGACATACATAAGAAAGGAGTAGGATGCCTTTTTTGCCAAAAATCGCTATTGCATTACAGGCTGCAATTTGTCAGGAGAGGTAACGAATAAAAAAGAACTTTTTAGATCTTTTGAATAAAAATGAACAGAAATGAAAAAAATTGCACTGTGGCGAGATCGTGTCTGAGTTTTGGTCCAGGCTAGCCTAGCTGAGAATCTGAAGTCTGACAAAACTAATAACCTGAGAACCTGAAGTTCGATAACACAGTCGCTGAGCCACATGCAGATTTCACAAATCCAGCACCAACGAGAAGACAACTTCCTGGCCTGATCGATGACCTCAGTCCCATATTTTTTGTTCAAAGATCTCAACTGAAGAGGAGTAACCTGGGAAAGGTGTCTAACCTGAACCTCAGCACCTCTTAATCCTTATTTATTTTTTGCCTCTGAATTTCTCACTCGGACTCGCTTAGTCTCCAATTTTCGCGTTTTGCCGTTGCTAAGCTGCCTCTCCAACCAAATTTCACCACTCTTTTCTGCTCTCGAACTCACTATTCCGCAATCCATTACTTGTGGCTCAGCTGCTGCATGACTTCGTACATACTATGCAGTTTCAACCTTCACTCTACTCATACTAGCTTATGACACAGTTATCCGCTCCGAATCCTTATTTTTTTTTGTTGGCCTAAACCTCAGCATCTCTTAATTCATCCTGAAAACTATGATCGCACCCAATTATGTCATCTGCTGGCGGCGTCATCATTATTGTACTGTGAGAAATCAGATTTTCAGTATGTGAAAGTAGTTCCGGACGCTGCATGGTGTATGGTGTTGGGACAGTCATGAGCAGCGAAGACGAGGTCAGTTTTATTCTGGCCCTCCTCTCAGGTCAGTTCCGCCCCCTGGAGCTTTTGAAAGCTCGAAGATTACTGGAGATGCATTCAGTAAGAAGACTTGTACACTATCCTTTTTTTAGAGACCTACTTCTTTCCGCTGTGTTCACTTAGTGTTGTTTGTTCGCTGCTCTCGAATCAGCGCATCAAATTGTTCGGGTGATCGTGCTAGTCTTGGTAACTAGATGTTTCGCACAATTATTTATGTCATAGAGCTAGTGGTTGTTTGTACTGGGTAATTTTTATAGCAAGCGCTACCATCGCTGCAGTAGATTTAACGAAGTATTTGCGTAGAATGACGTGCTCCTTGGATCACTGCTCCCATGAGATCTCTCTGTTACGCAGACGAGTTGCAAGCACGCACGCACAACCTATTGAGCTGCCTTTAATCCTTATTCTTATTTTCCCCTAACCATACAGCATTTGTGTTGTTTGAGAATTTTTTCCTTCATGGATAGTACTTAATGAAATTGCTGCAATGACACAAGTAATGTACTAGTTGGCTCGACAACTTGCTGATGGGCAGTGGACGGACGGGCACGAAATTACACGAGCAGCAGTCAATGGCGTATGCAAAATGTATCATAATAAACGTACACGTGAATATTTCGAAGGTTTAGCACAATAGTCGCCAATCGAGAGACATTTCTGGACATTTATGCAAGCGATATCAAGTGCCGCTCTATTGCTAGCTCTGCACTTCGTAAGCCTGCACTGCCGAGGTACACCTACAAATTACTTTTTTACTCAGCATACTGGCTCTTCAAATCAGATCTCAAGTGAGTGTAAAAGAGTGGTGACGAGGCAACTGTCCGCTGTCAACGCTAACTACTGGCGGTACCTCATTAGCAAGAAATGGTTCCCTCTCTTAATGCTTGAGACATAAGTTCAAAATGACATTTGTCTATGATACCCCATCTAAATCATCAGTAAGCACAATAATCAAGGATCAGCATCTAGAAAACGTGTAGACAATGGAACCATGAGATGCTGCACCACTCCGTCACTCTGATCTGATTGTTGCACAGTGGTCGTATTTGCCCGCTGTGTCGCAAACTAATCGTTTATTTTTAGGAATTGAACCAAAAGGAAGCATGGAAGTGCGGCAACCAGGACTAATTAGCGAATTATCAAAGAGCAACGTCTCGGCTGGCGAAACAGCAAGTGCGCAAGCTGCTGGTGATTTAGTGCAAATAGCACAGCAGGATTATAATGTAGTCAATGAGTTATTCAGCAGTAACTTATATGGAGCAGTTCGAATGCGCTTGGCAGAGCACAGGTATCAACGCCGCATGAAAAAGCAGGCAGATCCGGAAATGGCAGCACATGCGATCCTGCTGAACGTGATTGATATTTTTGGAGGGACAGGAGAGGGGTTTGACATTAGCCCGTTTCTTGATCCGCACGGTTTGGATCAAAATATGCCGGAGGATTATGGGGCGGATGACAGTAGCACCGAAGAGGATCAAATAAACCAATTAAACCCAACTGCTGAATCAGGTCACGATGAGGCAGTTGACAGCGATGAAAGCGACCTAGATGGACAGCAGTAGCTGATTATGTACAAGCAAGAATTTCAGTGGTTCCGAGTCCATTTCAAAACGGTGAAACAATGAATCCGGCCAAGTGGCCTGGGAAAGTAGTGTATCTGGATCGCTAAATTAAAGTGACGGACCGTACAACAACGAAGAAAGAGCAAATGAATTAAACCGCGAGTGCTGGCAATCGAATAAAACAATGAGACGAAATTCCGAAACGGTCGTAAACCAATGAAAAAACAAATATCGTCCTATCAGAAATGTTTCAGCTGGCTGCCTTGGAGTGATTGGATTTCTATGCCGATGCTACTTTTTAGCTCAGGGGTAAAGAACAATTCGTCAAAGCAGTTGATTCTCAATTGCTACTTGCGCCAGGCTCATTGTTTTGCTGTTTTGGATTTGATCATAATCTAGTGTGTTACGCTAAATAACAGGAGGAATTTCCGCTAACATGAAGCCAAAGGAAGTGGCAAAAGTATAGGGTCCAGGGGAATGTTAAGTCCCTCTTTCAAGTATTGTTGTAATGAAAGGCTAGTGCTGATTAGCATTTTAATGAAACTGAGTGCCGTTCCATTTATTTTGCCAACTGAGATCGGCAAATATGAGATAGATCGTAAATCCATATCTGACGAGTTACATGAAATTACGATCACAACCTCATTCATCTGTTGTCCCCAGAGAATGAAATAATCCAGGAGCTTTAAATTTTGGGGAAAAGTTTACAGGTTAAAAACATGACACAAACCTTTAGCTCTCCCTACCTGGGCCTTTTACGGCATAATTCCTACAACCAAAGAGGCTATAAGGCTGAAATTTGGTAGTAAAATTCCTTGATCGTAAAGAAGTCTGCACACATGAACTCAACTTTTTTTGCAGTCCGGCCTGTGACCCCATATCTAAGTCTGTGCTAAGCTACGAAATGCGACATAAGTTTCAACCACCATATGCTGCGACTTCTTGAACCAAATTCATTCTCACACTCTTACTCACAATCGGGAATCCACCAACATAGCAGACGCATCTCTTTATTTCGCGAACTTTGCATAAATTAATTTTACACTATTCTTTTCGACACTGCTGCTTGTTCACGTTGCTGTTGTTGTTCATGCTGCTGTTATTGTTCACGCTACTGATATTGCTGTAGCTGTTTTCAGTATTGTTGCTGTTATTGTTGTTGTTGAAGTTGTTGTTCAGCCAAACTGTTGCCATATTTTTCAGTACGCACTATTAATTTTATAAAATATGGGCTTAGTAGCACGTATTTCCGTATCGTTCAGTCCTAGAAATTGTGCAAACGAGCTTCACGTGTATGCACGCAATGCAGTTAACCGACTGCTTTAATTCATTTTTTTTTTTTTTTTTGTCTAATTTATTAGCTGTCCTATTTGAGACGTGGTGAATTCGCGTTTGCGAAGAGGGTGCTGCTATGAAACTGCTGTATTGACAGGAATACTGGAATACAGGGGGAGCACCAAGCAAATGGCGTTATGCCAGTGGCATTCGCTGGTGAAACTCATAAATGCAAATCGTTTAATAAGTCCATCCGTGATCTGTTTTGCAGAGTTGGTGCGACAATTTCAGTGAGGATTTCCATCATGCAGACAACGCCCCGAACTCTCCTGCTCCTTTTGCACATCGCTGTGCTGCTGCGACGAGGCACGTTAGCTAGTCATTTTCCTTCCAATCAGTATTGCTGTTTTTCAAAATTAATTTGCAAACGATCAAAATTTAAAAGTTCAGCTATTTTCTGACTGCTTCCCACCCTTCCGTCCCTCCCGCCGCACCTACCAAAGAACACGGAGATTATTTTGACTTTTCATGTGTGGTAAACAATGCCGACCTGAAATGGTTGACGGCTACGTCTACCTTAGCCAAGAAGTAAATATGCTCCACAATAAAAAACCCAGGCTGGAATGTACCAGGCTTGCTGGTTCGACCATGCGTTTTTGCACCAGACTTGAAGCATTCAGGTCATTAACTGCACGAATGGCCGTTGCTTTACACTACGGATGAGCAACTACGGCCCACGCGCCGCATCTGCCACGCAATCAATTTAATCCGGTTCGCGTGGGGTCGATATGTGGTACCTAACTACACGAACGGGGTTTGTATTCCGCCACGCCTCTGCACTCTTATGAAAATAAATAAATGGCCAACGCACCGACTGCCGGTGTGAAGGTGCGTTTTTTGCATAATTCCCCGCATATTTTTGTTGCTAACTGCACTGGTTTTTCCGACAGATGTTTTCTAGCTAAAGGAATCGAGACTAGCCGCCAGGACTGTCAGGAAACATTCCTTTAAAATTTCAGCTTTCTAGCTTTCCTGGTTTCCGAGTTAGCAACTTATCCGCAAAAAAATACATAGGAATCATGCATACCAGGGGACTGGGTTTGAACTCATTAATACCCACGTGGATGGGGAACTCTCCGTAGAATTTTAGCCTTCTAGCTTTTCATGTTCCCGAGTTAACAACTCACCCGGAAGAAACTTTTACAGGGACATATGTGGGTACCACACGTATCCGGTATCTGGGTTTAGGCTCATTAACACCTACTTGGGCGAGGGATATTCTTCTAAAATTACAGTTTTCTAGCTTTCCTGGTTCCCGAGTTAGCAACTTACCCGCAAAAAAATTCACGGGCCCGTACATAGGAATCATGCATACCCGAGGGCTGGGTTTGAACTCATTAAGACCTACGAGAATGGGGAATGTCTCCTTAAAATTTCAGTTTTCCAGCTTCCCTGGTTCCCGAGTTAGTAGCTTGCCTGTAGAAATCTTTGGCGGTCCGTACTTGGGTACCACGCAGGTAAGAGCGCTCATTTTGGGGGTCGGGGCCCGTACACGCATGTAGATTAAGTTCCCAAAATTTCAACCCTATAGCTTTTGTAGGTCTCGAGATGAAAAATCGGTACAGACGAATACACAGACACACACAGACAACCCCTTGTCAATATGCATTTTCTGCACTACATAAATGCAAAAAAACGCATAATAAAACTAAAATACGTGCGAAACTAATAAACGACTATAACGGAAACACTTTGAGACTCTGTGTCAGTGATATAAATCCAGATTTCGACGATTTTGTGTCAAAAGTTCGAGCTCAGGGCCCACGTTAACCTGTTGTTGCTTATTTTTTTACTGGACAAACAACCTGACAAAAACTTGTCTGTTTTTGTGCGTTTTTGCATCTTATGCAGATGTAAAACGCGTAATTTCGAGAGCTCTCTGTGCGACGCCGTTTTCCTCTGCCTACAAGAAAAGACCAAAACACGGGTACATGAGTTGCACGTGTTAAATTGTAGAGCAACAACCATTCATATTGTTAACGTTCTGATTGCATCAAGTTTAGCGCAAAAAAAGCATGACTGGATGGCCAAGCCTGGTGCGTTGCTACTGGGTTTTATTAAAAGATGGCCTGCAAGCTTAAGTATGTATATCAGGCTCGCGTGTTGCTAAAGGTTGCCCATGCTTGCTTTAAATCTAGCTTTTGCGCTCACTGGCGTAAATCATCGTAAATTTTGCATAAAGTAAATGAACAGTTTCCGTTTAATGATCGTTCTTTGAAAATGACTTAGCTATGCAGTGAGCAGTTTTCCCGCCAAAACTTTTAAGTGCCCGTATGTGAGAACTTCGCATACCTGGAGACTGAATTTGAAACATGTAAGTTGTACCTTGACATGGAGCATTGCCATAAAATTTCAGTTTTTCAGCTTTTCTGGTTGCCAAGTTAGCAATTTCCCGACTAAACTCACGTGTTCGTACATGAGAACCATGTACGAACACGTGAGGACTAAATATGTACACTTATGGGCTAAATTTGAAATCTTTAGCTCACGCATGCACAGGGAATATCCCTGCAAAGTTTCAGCTCTGTAACATTTCTGGTTACCAAAATCGCTTCCCTGTCAAAAAATTTGCACATTTATGCGTTTTTGCCTATATGTAAATTGCAAAAACACATATTTTGACGATCTTATCTGTGTGTGTATGTTTGTATGCGCGTGTTCATCTGTTCGGGTATTTCAACTCGGCAACCAAGCAAGTTCAAGCGCAATGATTTGCTAGTGGGTCCCCCGGCCAAGTGCCACCCCAGAACCGTAGTACCAACCCCGCGTACGAGAGATTGAAAGTTCCGGCGGGAAAATTGATAACTCGGGAAAGAGGAAAGGTAGAAAGGTGAAATTCTGAGGTTATGTTCCTCGTCCACATATAACTCAAAGATTTCAAATCCGTTTTGGGAATTGGGGCCCGTGCTTGCATGAAGATTAGTTTCCCAAAGTTTCAGCCTTGTAGCTTTTATAGTTGTCGAGATGAAAAATCGGTACAGACGCATGCACAGAAATAGACACACACACACACAGAGACGATTCCTCGACAATATGCGTTTTTGCATTGCATAGATGCAAAAAACGCATAAAAATGCTCCTCGAAGCGTCTTTCGAAAGGACCGTGGACAACCCTTCAGTTTCACCGTGAGGGATGCAATCACATACGGGTTCGAAACGTGGTCGCTGGCGAAAATTAAAGAGTGATCGCTGGCTGTAGCGAAAAGAGTGATGAAACAGGGATTTTTGAACTGTCTTTTCATGACCATGTAAGCAAGCAAACTCTATATCAGATAAGTGACATAAATGACAATCACTGCAGTCGCACAAAAAAGGGCAGGATATGCTGCTCACTTTACCGGCAATTGGTGGGTGTCACGTACCCGCGAGAAAGTAAACTACCTCCGAGAAGATGGCGCACATACACTGAACAGACGGTAGTAATAAGCGGAGTATGTAACCCAGCATCGAAAGGCCTGGCATAAGCTATGCGGGCGTGTGGAAGCATTTCAACTGTTGACACAGAACACCGAGACTGGGCAATCTGCGTATTCTTGGTATGTATGATAAAATTCGCTAGCACTGTTACTTCTTTGTATGCTGACAAGGCTTCCGTCTTCGGAGCAATGCTTTGAAAGCAAGCTGCAAGCATCCAATAACATTTACTAATTATACGAATTAACAACTCGGGGAGAAGCTGATATTAACTTTTTTAAAACGTTTTGAAACGTGAAGGTAGCACAACATTCCACTGCACCAATCGCTTCATCATTCAACTTATAATGCAGATTGCTCGGCTTCTGTTATTATACACTAAACTGCGTTATTTTATTTCAGGATTCGGGTCAGAAACGAACTCAAGATCACTGGAAGCAGAAGGAATGGCTATCGAAACGTCTGGAACTCGAGTTCTAGCGAAAAAAGTGTCGTCGAAGACGCGAGGCGTAGCACATGCCTTACCAAGTGCTGCAGCTAGCCAGTTTACAGCCGAAAATACTCGCAGCCAAGTATCAGTGCTGCCTCGAAAGAAACGTCAGGCTGAACCAGACGTTGCGCTTCTTGGAACCGCCTTTCAATTTGTCCATAAATATTTTGGGCCTGGAGTGGGACTCGAAATGGGAGTAGGCTTCAAGGATTCTCTCGGTACTAATGTTGTTACGCCGCTGGACTATGTGACAGACAGCAGTGAGGTCGAATCGAATCCCAACGATCCACTGGATCTCAGTTCAGCTATGCACCTGAATGGCGAGCCAGACAATTACGAACCGGCTGGGGGTAGTTCATACAGAATACACAATAGCAGCAGGGACATTGGAAATGTTAGCGGCTCATATGCGCAGCACGATGACCCGGGAGAGAACAAGTTGGATCAAAGTGAACCGGAAATTATCCCATTTAGCGGATCAAATTCATATTACAATGGGCCTGGCGCTAAGAGACCGAGCCAAAGCAGCAAGCAGTTGTCTGAGCTCGATTTGATCGGTGAAACGCCTCTCGAGCACAAAATGAGCCGAGTACTTAATCGCTTGCTGGTTGCTCGACGTCTGGCGCAGGAGGCAAGAAGAGGTATTAGCAATTAAATATGGGGAGCGCAAGACTGCGCTGATTTCTGGAATGAACATTTATTGAGCCGACTGGTCCAGGATTTTTTGCGTTTTGGATGCTGGGCTGGAACAACATTTAGCAGTACAATTCGACTGTTCGAATTCTCCCATTTTCTAGCCATAAAATTCAGTGTTTTTGCATTTTCGTAGTTGTTATGGGCTCGCCCTCAAATCGCGTGCACTGAGGAAGAATTATACAACACTAGGTGCACTGGAATCGTTGTCTGTCCATCACTGTCACAGCTTTGCTTTCATCACATAAATTATGCTTCCTCTGTGTTCAGATTATTCACGGGTGCTCAGGATGCTGTTCATCGTATTTGTTCCTTTATAGATCGTGTGCATTTGTGCTTGACAAGTTTTCTCACCCACAGAAGCCAGTAGTGATAAAAGGCCAAATGAACTAAAAAAAAAGAACGCAAAACTTCTCACACTGTGACCAAATTACACGATGAACCTCTTGACAGCATGTCCGGAACTGTTGTGCACCCAGAATTCGAAAATGCAGCCTTTTTTTTTTCGGTCAGCTCGGAGCCCCAGTCACATCTTGCACAGCTTGGGACCTTCTAATTTTGTCCCACATTCATTACTTCTTTCACTTTCAACCAATGCACTCTTTCCTCGTTACTTCTTAAACCTCCATCGACTGCTCGATCTTTGGTGCAGGGATGATTCGTATTTGTATGGTATACTATTCATGCGTTTTTTATATTTCTGATTTTTAGTTCTTGCTGTTTTTGTTGTATGTGTATATGGTAAAAGTTTTGAATTTTGATTTCCCACATTCGAATTGCAAAAATCTCATGCTTTGGAGAAACGGAAATCTTGTCCTCCACTACTGCAGCTTCTGGGCCAATCTCGGTACTACTCTGGATTAGGAATTTATCAGGAAGAGTACTACAGGAAGAAGTGTCCCCAAGTTGATCACTGCCTACAATTCCACAGTCACAACTGCACTGATGCAAGTGAGATCGTCTCTCGCATCTTTACGGGGATTGCTGGATTTTTCTCGATCCCAAATTTTTCAGCCCAACACGGAGCAAATGCATTGGTGCACTGCTTAGTTCCCGACAATGGGGCTGGGAAAGGAGAGTGCGGGAGGCGATGGGTGGCGAGGGCGCGAAACAACACCCACAACAACAGAACGTGTGAAGTTTCGTTCACGTACGAAAATTTTGAAACAATTTGTCGCAGTGCAGCACC